TATATATATATATATATATATATATATATATATATATATATATATATATATATTCATATATATATATATATATATATAATACATACACACACACACACACACAACACACACACACACACACACACACACACACACACACACACACACACACACACACACACACACACACACACACACACTTACATATATATATGTATATGTTTATATATGTGTGTGTGTATACTTATATGTATATATGTACATATATGTATACATACATGCGTGTTTATATATATAATATATATATATATATATATATATATATATATATATATAATATACATATATACATCTCTATATATAATATATATAATATTATATATATATATATATATATATATATATATATATATATAATGCACACACACACACATATATTTGTGTGTGTGTGTGTGTGTTGTGTGTGTGTGTGTGTGTGTGTGTGTGTGTGTGTGTGTGTGTGTGTGTGTGTGTGTGTGTGTGTGTGTGTGTGTTGTATGTTTATTTATATATATATTATATATGTATATATGTATGTACGTATATGTAAATACATGGGCGTATTTTCGAAGTGGGGGGCTGGAGAACGTGGCAGTGTCCAGGCGAAGGGCCCAGTGTGCGACACGGAGGCGAAACCCCCGGAATCTCCTGGATTTTAGCAGTTTAAAGAAATAGACATTACTTTTTGTACAAGAATGCCACAAGAAATTGGTAACTAAGGAATTGCACTGTTTATTTACAGGGAATGTCCTCGAAAGTTGAGGATTGGGGGGGGGGGGGGGGTGAGTCAAGACTCTGGGCTGAGGTTGGGTCCCGTCCCTCTCCATTCTAGAGAAGGGTATAGCAAATGTTGTGTTTAATAACCTCTCGCTGCCACCACACATTTAATTTCCGCATGGGAACGGAGGGTATAGATGAAGTGATGAGTATAAATAACGGAGAGGTAGTGTGTGTGTGTGTGTGTGTGTGTTGTGTGTGTGTGTGTGTGTGTGTGTGTGTGTGTGTGTGTGTGTGTGTGTGTGTGTGTGTGTGTGTGTGTGTGTGTGTGTGTGTGTGTGTGTGTGTGTGTGTGTGTGAAGAGAGTGAAAGTGTTGAGCGAGAGTTCGGCAAGCGCGCTTTTAGCAGAGAGGAAACGTGTGCGGGCGACTCTTCCGAACGCAGTATGGTTCCGCGATGTGTGATGAAGTACCGATACTGATGGCTTCACTTTTATCTATGTTTGTCTCGTCTCACAAACTGAGGGTCTCGTTCCTCCATCACAAAAGACTGCGAGGGTAGCCAGGTAACATTGGAATACATTTTCAATTATTAAAATAGAGTAAGACAATAAAACGGGGCATTAAAAGAGAACTGAACACAAAGAAAGTAAAATACTTGAACTAAAAGCGTTTTAAGCAGGGGAGGGCTTGGGCAAGAATTCTTGCCGATAGGCCAAGAACTGTACCGTCCCCTGCTTAAGGCGGTTTAAGCAGGGAACGGTACAGTTCTTGGCCTATCGGCAAGAATTCTTGCTCAAGCACTCCCTGCTTAAAACGCTTTTAATCCCCTTCTTCCACAGGCGTGCCAAAACTATGGCAAAGAGTCCTGCCACCTGATATTAGGAGCCAGTTATCTCCCAGGAGTGAGGATGCTCTGAACTCGCATAGAGAATGTGCTCAAGAAAACGCGGCCGCACCTCTTTCCTTTTAACGTGTTTTGTTATTTCTTATTATGATTTTGTGTTATTGATAGTTTCTTTTTAAATTGTTATTGATTCTCATACAAGAACACAAAATGATGAACAATGAACTTTTATGAAAAAAGTGAGAGTAAGGAGAGATAGTCTTTCTAGTTTGTTTTTTTTACTTCAGTATTTTTTTAAATAAACTTTATGAACGCTTTATATACTTTTATTTTGCAATTCTAATTTCTTTTAGCATAATATTCTGTTAGTCTTGGGTCTTGGTGCCAGTTGCAGGGAGAACACCGCAGAATGGGCATCCTCTGCTCCTGAAGGGAAGTGGTCGTGGGAATATTCTGATTACGGTATCAGGAGATATTCATGTTCATTTGGTCAAACAAAAGTGAGATAGACCGGTGCCTCTCGTGCTTTTTAGTGAATTTACGTTCATGTGTTTTATTATTTTTGTTTTATGTTTCATACCAATGTTTTTACGCTCTTGTGGTTTATCTTTTGGAATTTCATGTTCTTGTGTGTTACGTTCTTGTTTCTAAATAAGTACTTTACATTCTTGTCTCATGTTAAGGCGTTTCAAGCAGGGAAAGTTCTTGCCTAAAGTCTCAAGACTTTCTTGCTTACTCAAGAATTTCGCTTGCTTTCTCATGCGACCCCCGTAGATGGGTAGACTTGCGCTTGCCAAGTCAAGCGGAGTACCGTCACCATGGCAACAGCCTCGTTCGCGTACCGTTCTGGTCACAATCCTTCGAATGCGGGCGTTGGCTAAGAATTCCGCTTAATATTTTATATAGAAATATTTTTTTCACGGTATCTGACTGTAATTTCCATAAAATCGTATTCAAAGAGATTGAAATTAACTGAAAACGAAAGGAGATAATGGAGATTATGGGAATGATTTTTTTTTTTTTTTTTTTTTTTTTTTTTTTTTTTTTTGCTTATAAATCATGAATTATTATAAGAAGAACAATTTGTCTCTTACTTTTAAACTCCTCTCTATAAATCGAGAATTTATCTAATATTCAGTGAAATAGAGAATATTTTAAGTAAAGAACTTTCTTTGTTAATATTGTATTCGATGACTGTTATATTTAACTTCATAAAATCGTATATACGGGATGGGTAGGCCTACATTTTAATTCAATGGAGTTCATTTGTTTTGATCGCGTGTCAGTGTGTGATGGTTGCCCATCGGAAGTGTGTCACTGTTACATGCAATTTATATGAATATAGGAGAAAATATAGAGATTTGTCAACATGTTAGGGTGGATTTATTTACTTCTCTGCCATCTTGAGGCAGCGCTAGCTTGTCAGCTGTTTTGAAATGCGCGCCCAAACTGTTACCAACCGCCAGTGGAATAAACTCCACCCTCAACTTAAGGGGACCGTCCCTGAAAATGGCCACCTTTCCCTACTCTATCATAAAAAAAATATCGGTTAGAGATAACTGACTGATTCTTTTTGCATGCTATAGAGTAAAGAATTGCGCTCCGTTATATATTTAAATTTTAACTTTGCTCCCCCATTGGGGGGGGGGCACCCCCAAAAAGTCGAAAAAAATCGTTTTTTTTTTGGTATGTCTTCGGTACATCCCAACTATCACAGCTCTTTACAGAATATTCCCCCAAAAATACTTGTGTTAGATCAACTCTAGCCTATAGCCATGTAAAAGGCCGAATTTTGAATTTCCTTTTTTTTTTGGCGGGGGACAGCTTGACATAGAGAACTATTTTTGAATTTTTTTCAGCATTAAAATATTATTTTTTGATTAAGGCAAAAATTCAAAAATCGGCCTTTTACATGCCCTTGGGACGCCGAGGCTCTAGTGAAAGCAACAAACTGCATTTGGATCGCATGAAAATTACGTGAGTTGGGATGTACCGAAGATTTGTAAAAAAAATGCGAGCTACGGCGTTTTGTATTTGGCACCTTGCCAAAGTTCGTTATCTCTGTTATTTTTCTCTGAATCTAATGATATTATATATAAAAAAATGCTTATTTAGTGTACTTTGCAATGCAATGATTACCAAGTCAATAGGAATTTTCATGTTCAATAGGGACGCTATTCTGTAAAGGTATGTAATTTTTTTTTTTCGTTGTTCATAAAAGTTGATATTTTTGTGTGAAAAGCTTAATAAATGCATTTTACCATAGAGACAACTAATCTAAACCAGATAAAAACCTTTTTTTTTTTTTATTTTTTTTATTTTCCATTTTATTTTTATTATTTTTTTATTTTGAAGAAATGGGGAACTGTGGATGGCAACATTAGTACAAAATCATTCTAATTATAAAGTCCTGGCATGAATACAACATGGTGGTTCAATTTTGAGAATTTTAAAAGCATATGAATTTAGTACATTGAATTCGAGAACTTACGAAAGTCGTTGAATATTTCCCATGCCTCACACAGGGGGGGGGGGGGGAGATGGTCACTGGGTGTTTATAATTTTCGAGGAGGATCATATGTACGTGAACGCACACACATAAAGTTAAAAAGATTAATCATCATCATTTAGTAGGCCTACATTGACTTTCATATCTAAATAATAAAATATATTAGTTATCCCTCTCATACCATTTTCTTTGATAATTGTCAATATTAACAGATTGCAAAGGAGAACAAGTGTATAGTTTATGATTAGCCATTTGCATCCATTATCTTTACTAAGAAGTGCATAAAATCATGCAGACGCCTAGGTGTTGTGGGATATTTGCCAATTTTAAACATTAGTGCTCCGTATGTGATATACGTATATATTACCTCGTAAACTAAAACATATTACCAGGGAGTCTCAGTCAAAGCATATTTCGTGTGTAAAAGGACACAAAACATACATAGCGACGTACCTCTCCGGGTGCTGAGGGACTCGCGCGCCGGCTGCAAGACAACGAGCCATAGCAGGCGCTTAAAACGCTTTCCAAGGCAGGCAATCCTTGTTCAGTGATGCTAGACATGTGGAAGTGTCTTTCTATAAAGTACAAATCATAACAGTCCTTAAAGAACATAGAAATGTCAAAATAACATACAACATATACATACTTGGGTTTTAAAAGCAATAGACAAGTATTCCTACCAACAATCTCGGGGAGAGATAACTTATGCTTAAGTGGGAGGTTTTCATCAACTAAACAGTCGTGTTCTCGGCGAAAACCGGGAACCAATACAGGGACGGGCACCCCCCCTTTTCCCATGATATATGACGTATATAACATAGGGCACTGTACAGGTGCAAATATGCATGAATGCATCTGCGTACTCAGAGCGTAGGGCGGCTGTTTGGCAACTCAGAGCGTAGGGCGGCTG